CATTCAGACAAAAGAGACGGGTCGTCTGACTCATGCAGATACACTGAAAGTGTGTGTGAGGAAAATTGCAAAGAGGCTTATTGTTGGAGACAAATAAGGGAGAGACACCACATGTGCCGTGACCTTGCAGCTTATACAACTCCTCCACTCAATACCTTGCATGCTCGTGGGAACTGATCTTCCATATACAGGCAAAAGGCTGACATGCAACGTAGAAGTGTAAATGCCCAATAACCCACATTACTCATTTGCCTCAGGCTGTACAGTATGTACAAGAGGAGATCTACCGATAACGTGCACAGTCCCTCTCCTCTAAGTGCCGTGTCACTCTTTTACACAGAGCCTATTTTTTGCCACTTTTGAAAAATCTAACAAGATTAAATGTGCTTTTTTATTCTAAGGACAGACAAATCATGTTAAAGTTGCTCTGCTGTTGTTCATCTCTCTGCAGGTAGCACTCCTCTCTGACCTGCCATGTGCACAAAAAGTCCTCTCTGAGATGTGACCCTTTAACATCTTCAACATAACAGAAAGTGTCTCAGATTTCAAAGCAAGTCACAGGAGATGACCTTGCTCTTCCTATCTTCTCTGATGCAGGGTACATGTACAAGGCTTCAGGAAGGACAACAGCCAAAGCAAAACAAATACAAATAAAGGCCTTTTTCTCACATTTAAGGCTGTACCAAAAACACCTTTCTAGATAAAGACAGATATAATGTTCAAACCAACAATCAAGATAACTAGCTTAAGGTTCAAATTGACAATTTGACAAGATTTAACAATAAGATAACAATTTCCCAGTTATCTCATAAGAAATAATCATCATGTGACAACCGACATGACTGCAACTTGACTAGTTGATGGAGGCATACAGTACAAATGAATGGTGGTATTTAGTTTTCAACTTCTGCAAACTCATTGGTATTGAAAACTACAGCGGCAACACCATTTATTTTCTTGAATAGGCAGTTTTTTGACTTATCATAAGCATGAGCAGTTTCTTTCAGTGCAACAAACAGAGCTAAGTTAAAAAAAAAAACACCATCACCTTTCCGCTCTGATGTCTACAAAACAAGATGGGTTAGGATGTAGATACAGTGACTCTTGCTCTACTGCTCATGTTGACGATGTTATTTTAGTTCCAAGCTAAAAAAAAGCTCAGTTCAGTTTATTGTAAAAACATTATTTCTTACTAAAGCTTTAAAGTAATTAGACACAACTCATTCTTAATCTGCCTCTACTTATTGGCCTGTTTATTTTTTGTTTTGAAAGTCCTCTAAATGGTATTTTAATGTTTTGTTAATTTCTGATAGTTCATATATTTCTATGCCCCTGCAAATCACTTTGAATTGCCTTGTGTTGGCATTGCTCTCTTTCAATATAATTGCATTGCTTTGCCGAGTGGTTTTTATAATTCCCTACAAAATAAAGAAGCAGTGACATCAACACAGTAATGACAATGCCAAATGAAGCAATATCACTAATAAAAGATGCAAATGAATGAAGTGTGGTCCACTGCTGTGCATTACAGAAGACCCCTAACTTTATATTTTGTTACTTTTATATTGCAGTATTATCAGAATCTTACATTTGGACCATGCTCAGAGTACATCATATGATCATGTTTATTTGCTGAAGTTCAATAACGATAATAATTGAAAGCCCAGCACTGGTGAAATGCATGTAATGACACATGGCTAGATGGAAAAATATGAAGTTCCTAATTTCACACATGTTCTGTTATTCATGCCTTTACAGCCACAAAAACAGTCCACTGAAGTGCCCCACGGTGTGCTGCCCATTAGTCATTGGGTTTGTGAGTCCTACAACATGACATGCACATCTGGATCATTTGTATCGTGTTGTAAATCTGTCTCCTGATCGACCCGATCTGGCAGCAGCACACACCAGAGACACAAACAGCTACATTTACACATAAAATCTTTCTCTCAATCTCACACTCACCTCTCCTCCTCTCACTGCCGCTTAGGATTCACACCTCCCACATGCTTTTTCTTGTCTCATCCTTTCTGCTATTCCTTCTTCCTTCCCTCTCATCTTCCCTCCTTCTCTCCAGCAGAGCAGTGCAGACCTGTCCGGCCAGCAGAGCCTCCCTCCCTCCTTCCTTTGACTCCCCGCCTGCCAGTTAGCAGGCTCACATCTCAGAGCCCTGCCCCCTTGCCTTCCCTTCCCTCTGCCTTTCACATACATGCTGAGTCAGTGAGGAGCAGTTAGTGTGGGTATGGGAAGCTGCTGCAGGGAGGGAATGTGCAAGAAGTAATAGGGATGTTAAATGTTTAAAGGCAAGAACTGGCCTTTTTCTACATATTTAAAATATCAAAAGAAAAACCGAAGATGTGAGTAGATAAAAAGTTGGCATGTGGTCTGATCTGTAGGGCGGCAAAACCTCAAGTCTGTGTGAACTCCTCCACCCAAACACTTCAGTAGTAAATGACAAGATAACAATACCAAGCGTTACACCCTCTCAAAACACAATTTCAAAATAAATATTTTTAACGGGTACATTTTGGGCGATTTTTGCCATCTTAAAATCTTTTGTTTAAAGGATTTTTTAAATGACATTGTGTGAGAATGGTGCTACATACATGTAATTATTTGATATGTTTTAAATTTGAAGGCATTTTTGCCCACTTCATTGTGTTTTAAAGGGCAAATACCTTGACATTTAGGGGGCATATTTACACTTTCCCCCGATTATCTCAGACACCGATTTCATGTGACACATATTATTATATAAACATTAGTTTTTGGGAAATGTTACATGCAAGAGATTCATGTATTTTTCTGATTTTCGTTATGTTAAATACAGGAAATCACACGTGAAAATATACTTTTTTGTATGTACTTCTTGTGCAACTGTATTCTACAGTATGTGTCATAAGTTCCTAAACAGGAACTTGTGGCTTTTAGTGCATTCTTATATTATAATAAACTATATTTAACTTAAAACGAAACTGAACAACTTTTTCAAAACAAAATCCCATTCTCCCATTTCTACAAAATTTGACTGAAATAAAGCATGTGGAGAAAAAATGTGGACACATACAGTAACAGTACTTTGTGTAATTTTATTCTTGGGCTGTATTTCATGGGTCTGCAACGTTAAGCTGTCCACAAACTTTTGGCTATGTTATGTAATATCTTTTTTTAATACATATAGCGATGCCTCTTATAGAGTCTGAAAACATCAGGGAGAAGGAAACAGCCCGCTCTCATACCACTAAAATATTAAAGAGACCCATGGAAGCAAAATATAACAAACACTTTCCTTCATACAGTATGAATGTACATGTTAACCCAATACACACATTCAGCTACTCAAACAGTTATAAGAGCTGTTTCATAGAAATAAGACTCCCCCAACCCATTATTGTTTGAGGAGACACTAATCTGCCCTGGGTGATCAGTTGCCTGTGTTATGGATTAAATCACAAAATGTAGAGATTATACAGAGACTAAAATGAAATTTCCCAGTTTAGCAGAAACTGAAACACTGACGTGGTTGAATGTAGTTTTTGTCACCACCTCCACTCCTAACAGGTACAAGTTAAAAATAACATTTTGTCTGAGGAGACATCGTGTTAAATCGTGTCCTATCTGCCTGGTAAATTCTTCCAAACACTCAACAAAATAAACCATAATTAGTTTCTGTCAGTTAAGATCTAGGGCTTCTTGGCTGAAAGATTGATTGTGATGCCAAAAATGTATTTGCCATACCTATATAAGGTATATTTATACGTTTCTGTTTTCAAAATACCAAACAGATCATGCATTTTAGCCATGCCTCATTTCGCTCTATTTGCTGTTCTTCAGCCCTGTTTTTGCAGGTGGCTGATTCTGTGAGCTGCAGCTGACCACGCCCCCCTGCAGGAGACGGCGTTGATCAGCGTGCTCTGATCAAGTCAGAAGAGGGGGAGAAAAATGGATCTTCGTCCTCCGTGTTTTATTATTATAGAGTCGTTATTCATTTGTTTTAAGGCTCAATAAATAACAAAGAAGTACTTTGACCGGCACTTTTCAAATTTTGTCCGGAAGATTTAAACTTTAACGGACATATTGACCGGCGAAAGAAAACCTAACTAAAACTCTGCCGCACGGTCCCCTCGTTCCTTGGAAGAGGCGGAGAGGTGGGTGTTTTTCATCTGCTGGTGGACTACCGGAAAGAATTACAGTGCTTGCCTTGACGGGGAGGGATTGCATTGAATTACAGCAGCGGGAGCAAACGCTTGCCTCGGGGAGGGAGAAAAAGAGCCACAGCGGAGAATAAACAGAAGGGCAACCATGGCAACCATGCGCGGGAAGTCTTCTTCGCTGCTTATGTGAAAGACTACAGCGCCACTTACACTTACCTGGCATATGTACTACAGCGTCTACAGCGCTTTCGAGCGGCAATGGCCGGCCGTGGCCCAACCTCACATTCCCCTGATAGGTGGAGAGTTGGACCAATAGCCGTAGCGCCACCGTCCTGACGTCAGGACAGTGTTCAAATCTGGATCAGTTTTTATCAGATCCGTTGCAGCCCCTTTTTTGAGATTTGGGTATTGAGGAAAAGTAACAATATTTCTGACAATGACTGAATACTTTTTTTTTTTCTGATATGCCAGCTATGCAATATATTTTTTCATATCCCCTTCATGTATTCAGAGACGATTTTTTTTTTTTACAAATTTGTGACATTTTAAAACATTATTCAATATTTTTTTTCTTTAATATGTGAGTTATTTATTTTGTAAATTAACCGTTATTATCTCAGATAATATCGATTCTTCAGGTAAATGTATGATTTCTCCTTCAAAATGAACACTTAGATCTCAAATAATCCATGCATTTATTTTTAATTCCAACTTTCTTCTTGGAAATTCTCACGATATTAGTCCTCGTCCTCAAACTCCACAATTAGAATTATTTTACCTACATGGCCCTTATACTCTGTTGTTGTGAGAAATAAGTATGATTGTAAAGACAAAAAAAAAACATAATCAGCATCTCATTACCAGTCTGACTTCAGCTGACACGGACTTATCTCCAGCCCGCCGACTCGGCAGCTCATCGAGGACCCGGTTCCTGAAGCTCATTAGAGGCTGGAGGTCCTGCTCGGGGCCCGAGGGGTCTGCGTCGCCGGCGGGTACGGGCATCCAGTTGGCGAGGCCAGAGCAGGAGCTCATGTCCGTGAGGCTGAGAGGAGGACTGTTCAGGATGTCCAGGTCCGAGCAGCGGCTCATGTCCTCAGATCTCTTCTGTGATTGGCTGGGGAGGTCTTCGGGGCACTTCCACACGCCCTCCGTCACTTGTCTGTACATATAGGAGGGATACAAGAAACTACAATACACACAGGACACAATGAAGGAAGCAAACTACAATAAATTAAAGATGACATACACTCAATGTACCAAACATTTTTTTATTCCTTTTTAAAATGAACAGCTCTTGCAAAAAAGGTCTCAAGCCAGACTCAAACCAGTTGCATAATTGGTGCCTTGAACCAAGAGGTAATCCTATTTTTCTGATGATTTATTATTCCTTTTAATGTTATCATTGTCAGAATTAATACATTTTTCATCACACACTCTCAGAGCCCAAAGTGGCATAAGAGACAGATCTTTTTCGCATTTATTTATTTTTCAGACATTTTTTGAATGACATTTCAAGGCAGTTCTTTTTTTAATCTGAACATTTTTAAAAGAGGTCTTTCAATGATTTTGTCTTTCTACCTAACCTTTTTATTTATTTGAATCCATGTATAGATTGCAGGTAAAAGTATGTTTCTATACATAGATAAACTTGAATGTCTTTGTGTGGATACTATATATTTTGTTGTACAAGCAAAAATAAAAATATATTTTTTTATATTTCTCAAAGTAAGAAATGCAAAACTGAGTTTGAAGTTTGAATCCTACTGTACAGCTGTCTATAAGTAAATCCCCTTAAAAAGGCGTACGAGAGGAAACTGGTATGTGAGCTGACCTTGGATAGTGAGGTATTATGTGAGTGAACTGAGGAGTGTTTGAGATGTATACCTGCGGAGCGAGCTGATCGCATCAGTCATGGTGTTGCAGCGCTTTAGCAGGGCGTCCAGACGGTGAGGCTCCTCTTTCAGGAACTTCACAGCCTCCACCTCCACCCTAAGCACCACCCGCATCTTACTCTGCAGGCTGGGGAACTGGTCTGCAGGGGGGGAGAGGGATAAGGAAGAGAGACAGGTGGATGAAGAAGACGGAGTGGCATTGTCAGGGGGATGTGTTGAGATAATGATGTGTGGAAGAATGGAGGCGGAGAGAGGGGGGGTAAAGAGAGAAGGGATTATAGGAGAGGAAGACAGGATGCTGTTTTCTGTCGCAGCTATATTTCGAATCTGTTGGATTTTCTTGTCATATCCAGCAGGAGGATTCAGTGGAGGTCGGCCAACTGAGAGGGAAGGGCATGCTGGATAACAAAAGGCCGGCCTGTGTTGGTCTGTGGGTGTATGTGTGGACACTTCACGCTTTCTGACACTCAGCTGTCCTGAAAAGCTGTCCAACTGCCACTCAGACACTGAATAAATAATAATAATAATAAAAAAATGTTTAAAAGACACTGAATAAAAAGACAATGATGCAATTGTAGGCGCCAGGTGGACAAGCTAACTAGAAGTGGTCAGTAGAAACTAGTCTGACCAGGACCCTATGAATTGAAAGGTATGTTTTCTTTAAAGAAAATGCAAAAATAACACCATTTATCATGGCCAGGAACTGTTCAAGCTGAAATAATGCGTACATACATTTACACACGAATATCCCTTTTTTTTGGTAACTTTAAGGTACATGTTCATATGTTTGTATAAATTGTTGAAACCAAAAATAGTGGTTCAAAAAATAAAGAAATAATCGTAAGACGTTTTTGGAATTAAACATGTTTCGAATGCTTCTATAAGCAAACAGTATTAAATAAAAGCATTTTTATTAAATTCAGGTAATTTTAAGCAGCTCATTCAAAATTAAAATAAAAAATAACCATTTGCGGTAACCACATCATGTAAAAGATGTTTGAAGCCATCTACGACTCAGCTACGACCATTATTGTCATATGACTCAAATTCTGTATAACTGCCAAGCCCTCTTTTCTCCCCCTAGTATCTTCTAAATTACAGGGTAAATTAAGGCCACAGTGAGTAAAATGTGGCAGGAGCAAAAGACTTCTTGCGGTTCAGAGGAAGTACTCATTAATATTCCAGATGGAGAGGGGAAGTACACAGGTCAGAGTCGCAGGACAAGAGGCTAAACCTGGAACTTCATGAATATCAAGCCTGAGAGGATTCATTAATATTCATCAGTGACTTTGTTTTACACCAATTTGACATACTGTACACGTAGTACTTTAGCAATCCCAGTACTTGAACTTTGACCACAAAAAACGATGTCTACAGTGCTGCACATGAGATTTACATGTATGAGTATAGAGCTGTTTTTATTTATTTGAGCAATTCCTATCGTTTTAACAAACGAGCCTAAGGACCTTGGACAAAAATAAGATGAGGTACCATCACGGCCATATTTGAAGTTAATAACAGATTTGAGCTTTTCTTTTTTTAAATACCCTATCTTCCATATGAAATGGTTGTGCTTATATGTTTAAATGGCAGCAGATCCACAAGAGAAGCATTAGGAAACCACATTGTAGGGAAATACAGGACTGTCTCAGAAAATTAGAATATTGTGATAAAGTTCTTTATTTTCTGTAATGCAATTTAAAAAAACAAAAATGCCATACATTCTGGATTCATTACAAATCAACTGAAATATTGCAAGCCTTTTATTATTTTAATATTGCTGATTATGGCATACAGCTTAAGAAAACTCAAAAATCCTATCTCAAAAAATTAGAATAGTTCCTCAGACCAAGTAAAAAAAAAAGATTTATAACAGCAAAACACAATCAAACATTTGAAAATGTCCATTAATGCACTCAGTACTTGGTTGGGAATCCTTTTGCACGGATTACTGCATCAATGCGGCGTGGCATGGAGGCAATCAGCCTGTGGCATTGCTGAGGTGTTATGGATGCCCAGGATGCTTCAATAGCGGCCTTTAGCTCATTAGCATTGTTGGGTCTGGTGTCTTTCAGCTTCTTCTTCACAATACCCCACATATTCTGAATATGTGGGGTATTGTGAAGAAGAAGCTGAAAGACACCAGACCCAACAATGCTAATGAGCTAAAGGCCGCTATTGAAGCATCCTGGGCATCCATAACNGTGTATGTCATCTTAATGGTTAATCTCAATGCACACGCATTTTCCGTGCTTTCCAATAGTTTAAAATAGTTTTATTCCACTGTTTAATAACCTGTTCTTTACAAACATGCCACTTGTAAAAATGAAATAACATTTCTGTGAACTGATATTTGTTTAGTGAGCTTATTAGAGGATGTTCCCATTTTTGGGGGATGTTCCCTTTGATTGTAAAATGTCAATGAAGATGTCAGACTTAGTATATTTGTTAATAATTACATACAACACATGGAATTTGTGTGTGTGTGTGTTCCAAGTGAATCTGCGGCCCCCTGGTGGCCAGTACATCAATTATGTGGCCCCCACCCCCATCAAAGTTGCCCATCCCTGTTCTAGAGGTACGAACATGCAAACAAATCTTAAATGTTTTGAATGATTGTCTGATTGATTTATTAAATCAGTTTCTTGGATTATCTTTAGGCAGTCGTTGAAGGCACTTTCATGACTAGGGGTACACTAATCTGAAATTCAATACTGATACCTGCTTTAACTATCATTGGATGATTTGTGCCATTCCTAACGTGTTTCATTAAGCTGTTTGCTTTTCTGTGTTCAAGGGACTGAGGTCATTCTTATAGGCCTCACTATGAAACAAAAAAAAAAGATGTTTAACAGCTTTAAAATATTTTTGGTGCTTTACTGACTTATAATATGGATAACGGTCCTGTCTCTGAATCCTGAATGTTATCGCATTATTGGTAGCGAAAGGCTTTACTAAGAAATTATTTAGAAAGGTCAATTTTCAAACATCAGTGTGTTCATGAGCTTTCATTTGTAATGTTGAAACAACATGAAGGCTATAGCGATGTGACTTTTTGATTAAACTGCTTAAAGAGCATGTTGATATCTGTTTAGGAGTTGTTTTGGAAGTGTTCACATGATATTTGACAAGTAAGAAACTTATTTTCCAATTATCCAGATACTAAAACATAATTTCCTGTCGCCCCATGATTACCAGAGCCCCATGATTCGGATCCACTTCAAAATGTCATGGGTTCTTCCATGAACCATTCTACACCTTTCCACCAAGAGCCTAAATCATACCCTCCTTGGCATAGGTACCAATACAAAGCTAAACTGTCAGCATCACTTAGAAAGAGGTTTAAAGGTTGCAGGAAGCACACAGATGCTTGTGTGAGAGCTTTGATAACTAAGTGGTTAGCACTAACACTGTTTGTGCTCCCATCAGTTCTCAATGGAAGACTGAGATGATCAGCCTTGTTTCTATTCTCTTTTTTGTTAATGCTGGTGAGAAAACAACATTAGTGGTCTTGAGTAACTGCGTTCGTCTCCTTCCCACGTCTGTTTCTATTTCTTCCTACACTCGCACTCGTTGCACCCTCTCACAAGGTTACTGCCTCTGTCTTTTTGTTATTAACGGCTCACAGTTTTGGCTTTTCTTTTTTCAAAGAACTAGCAGATTTTGTACAACACTACCGTCAGTGTAGCTGTGATGACGAGCTATATGGTCTGCTTATATTATTGAGCGCTGAAAGCCGAGAACACATTTCAGAGGTGTGATAGTGGGAGTATTTAGGAGGTGAGAGCGCTGGCAATGAAAAGGGCCTTTTGAGCATTTGGATAGGAGCGAGTTGGGTGATGATGGTGAGCATTAGCATTTTACAATCCTGCCGTGTGTCCGTATAATGAGTGGTCGTCTGCTGCTAGCTGCTCCAATCTGTGAGGCTTTTTTCCTGTGTTGGCTGCGGTGCAGATGGAGCGCTTTGCAGTGGCCTGGATCCTGTGTGATTAATGAAACGCAAATCTGTTGTAGAGGCGCTTTCTCCTGGTTACATGCCGAAACGCCTTCTCGTTTTGTCATGCTGGTCATACACAGGCTTTCTTCTTGGCTGTTTGGTCACATTTCAATGCCAGTAATTGATTCTCCCGACGCTTGATGGCCCACAATGCTGTGCTGAGTGTCCAGCAGCAAGTGATATCACAGTTTATCTAGTTCAATAGAGGGGTAGGGTTACATAAACCACAAGCTCTGTAATGCATCTCTGAATGTTTTGACTGTCTTGATATGGGGCACACTATCTCCTGGATGCTTTAAAGGAAAATTTCAGTCATTTTTAAAGGTCTTAAAGGATATCATATGTTTAATCGTTCATCAATTACCTTTTACCTTGGATTCTTGTAGAAAACTTTGTTTTTCTGCAAGCCTCCACATGGAACGAAGAATCCAAAAACCGGAAGTCTTGATACATTTAAGTAAATGCTTTTAAGAACTGTAAAACTATATAGAAACATATTTAAACTCCAAAACAACACATGCATTAAAATTTAAGTATCATTTATCCAGTTCAGTGCTTCTGAAATGCATGCTTTTTCACAAACACAGAAATATTTAATTACTTCTATTTATGAAGGATTTTCTCCATTACTAGATTCTCTGTTGAGCATATGCACATTTTGTAACGGGTTATGTAAGGGCCCAAATGCAGCGAACTGGACACCTAGTAAAAGTTTAGAACGAAGTTTAATATTATAATCCAGAGGTTTATAGGGGGCAGGTCATTTATGTCCAATGAGAGTCTCAGTCAGGGAGCAGGCAGAAGACAAGTTGAAGCCAGGCAGTAGATCAAGGAGTCAGTAAATAGCCATGGACACAGGCAAACAGGAACAAGGCTGCAGAAAAAAACCTAGTCGTAGCCAGGACAAATGCGAGTTAGGCAGGATCGGCATTAGAGAATCAGTCAGGGAAAGAGTGCTGGAAAGTCTTGCATGAAGCGTACTGTAGAACAATCTGCCAATAAGTGACTAAGCCAGTGGCTTATATACTGGTTTGATTAGCAATGAGCAGCAGGTGTGCTGACGAGGTGGGAGTGGCTTGACCAGTGGTGTGAGGTGGAGCGGGGTCAGTGGAAAATGACTGAGGTGCAGCAGGCAGCAAAATA